GATCATTAAATTTTTGAAAACTGAATCCCAAGCTAGCTATTATTAGGGCCAAAATGTTATCATTGAGGTCAAAGTTTTCTATCACTGGGGTCAAAGGCACATTTATATTAACTCCAGTGAAAAATAAACTTTTTACTTAGGTAAGTTTTTATCCTAAGCATTTATTCAAATAGCCATTAGTCATTATTACATACCAAGTAAACACTAGACATACCAAGAAAAACTACACAAGGACCTCGAGAAACTAAAAATCTAGACAGAAATGCATACTGCTATATATAAAACAGAATATAAATGATGCAGTAGTGAAACAGAGGAATATTTGTTTAAAATTCAATAAGGAATGAATGAACTCCTAACCTAACAGTGTAAGCTGCTTCAAAAAACATGTTCCCTAGCAAAATCGATTATACACATTTAAAAACAACCATTTAAAGTCTCTAGAAATGTTCCTAGGACAACAGCATCTGAAGAAATATTTATTGAAGAAAATCTACTAAAATTTGGTAAGAACAGTCAATGTCTATAGTATATAAACCAAGACCTACTCACTCTCATCTCCCTCCCAGCTCAACAAGATGAAAATTCTATTCCAAATTGGTACAGTCAAGAATATAGCACTAAAAATACAAGCAACTAAGCTAAAAACAAGAACTCCATTTGCTTTTCTTAGCCTACAATTTCACAAGCAAGTTTTCCTTTCCATTTTTCTAAAGTATATAGTTAGTTCTGAGTTCAGTTGTTTTTGAACTAGCTGGAAAAATCACGTTATTTTTAGCTTTTATCTAAGACCTAAATAAATTGAAATCATAAAACAGTAGCAATAAAAAAGTATATGTAAATATCAACAATATGAACAATAAAAATTAAAATTACACTAATAGAATTCAACTGAAACAAAAAACAATTTAAATCAATTAGATAGATAAAGGTTAAAAACTGGAACATACAAAATGTTGGCAAGGATATGCAGAAGTAAATATTCATCAAACAGTGGGTAAAAGTATAAGTTGTGCAATCGTTTTAACAAGTAACTTTGCAGTATCTTTGAAAAACAGTGATGTGCATTGTGCCCTTTGACTTTGTAATTCTACTGTAAGATATTTATCCCAGACTCATAATGGGCATAGATATATAACATTATTAGTTATAGCAATATATATCAAAAAATGGAAACAAATTACATGTCAAACAGTAAAGGATTACCAGGATAATTATAGTAAACACAGCTTTTCAGATCAGTAAGATAGTTCTTAAAGTATAACATGGAATAATGTCCTAAATATACACAAAAAAAGTAGTTTATACAACATTATATACCACAATAAATATACAGTATATAAGGTGTGATCCAAATTTAGCCAAAATAAATTCCTAGAAAATCTGTGTCTAGATCAAGACACAGAAAAGTTATTGGTGGTTTATCTCAGGTGAATAGAAAGGAGGTGAAAGGAAGTAGAAAGAAACTTTTAATATTTTACCCACATACATTTCATTCCCATTTGAATTTTTATCAGAAGCATGTATTTTTTCTTATTTTAAAATTTGTTTAAAATAATGTTCAATTTATCAGTTCTCTTTTAAATTAATAAATCATAAGGTATAAAATTACTTCAAGATATTAAATGTTAAAATATTTTCAAGGGCTGGGGTTGTGGCTCGGCAGTAGAGTGCTCACCTAGCAAGTGTGAGGCCCTGGATTCGATCCTCAGCCCCACATAAAAATAAATAAGTAAAATAAAGGTACTGTGTCCAACTACAACTAAAAAATAAATATTAAAAAATATATTTTCAAAATAATAAATCTAACAAGCAGATATTTCATAAATTATAATAACAGTCACAGAAAATTAAATGACTTGAAGAGTATGCTTTTTATTGTGGATTTTTAATAACCGCCTGCTAGACTTTGCTTTGCATCCTTGCCCTAAGCCAGGGGTCATGGGGCATAGAAATGAAGACAAAATGCTCTCAAAGGAAATGGGTGAGAAGATAAAATATACATTCATGAAACAACTAGCCAACAATCTCACACAATATGGTAAAAAGTATTAAGTGATCTTAAAAATCTCATCACAAAGACTCACCGAAAGGCAACTCGAATCTTGTATCAAGCAAGATTTTATGAGGAGTTGGGTTTTTAGTTCCACAGATCTCATCATCTTTCATTAATGTCTCAGACTCCAATGTAGACCACTCACCAGGCCCTTCCTAGGAAACAAAATCCAAAATTAAACTTTAATCTTTCTTGGCTTTCCTCTTGATTCGAGAGCCAGGTGTTCTCTGATTTTCCCTTTTTGAGAGCTTCTGAGGGCCACTTATATCCTGATAAGGTACACATGCCACTGTTATGACCTGCCTGTGCTACACATAGACTTCTGTTCTCCAACTTTAGTGGGGAGAGCAGCTTTTATTATGCTTAGCTCTCTTCAGGACAGATTTCTTGAGTACTAGACTCTAAAACTAAGCATTCCATGGATCAATATTTAATCTGCATAATTCTTAATGACTGTGTCACTTAATGATATATGTCTCTGCTTCTCATCAATAAAGAGCTACTGACATTGCTAGTTAAATGGAAATGAGCAAGAGATGCAATGAAAATAAACTGCCCATCTGCCTGAGGGAGTAGAGATTTAGCCAGAAATAAAAGAAAACGGAGGCAATAAGCTCAACTTTCCCAGTCCTGGAAAAAACACATAGTTCATGTGAAAACCAAGTAGGAACATAATAGCTTCTGTCTAATACAAAGTGAGTATATGTGGGGAAATTATGCTATCTGAGTTATTCTAAACAGGGAAAGTAGAACGGGAGTTCAGTTCAGGAAATAATGCATAAAGACCATATGAATAGCAATTTCTAAGCCTGGAAGTTCCTTAAATTCTGGTAGGGTTACATGCAGAAGAGGACTGAAACCAGTTCCCTAAGTGACTCAACAAAGCAAAAGAAAAATCCAGCCAATTAGCTGAGAAATTTTAATGGGACCTCTCCCAGGACAATGTCTTAGAGGAGAATGTAGGTGCATACATGCACACTATCCAAATGAGGCTATCTACCTAATAAGGCTAAGGAGTTGCTTTGTTATCTCTGAATTCAGTATTGGGATATATGGAAAAACAGACTTAATTATAATCACATGACCCTCTGGGTGAGGATGGTAACGGATAGGTCCTAAACCCTCTTAATTAGAAAAGGAGAAGAGTAATCTGAGTTGCATGGCTGACTATAAAATAAAAGCTGAAGTGAAGCCAAGATGAGGAAAATGAAGAGCTAAACCATACTCCAAACAGGCAATGCACTGACTGACCTCATCTGACTGACGAATTGTCTTCAGTGCAATCCACACGGTCCCCACCATGGTGTCCCATATCAGCCCTTTGTTCCATACCTCCACACTTAGACCCAGGTCCAGACGACTGATCTCACTAGAGAAAAGAAGAAGAAAGGAGTTTGACCAAAGCCAGATAATTGAAACAAATGTTACATTTCCCATTTTACTAATCCTGAATACTTTCTTACCCAGGATATTTTCTTAGGGAAAATCAAAATGTCTCAGAATGCTGCAATCATCTTTAGGTTCCCAGAATCTATGTTAAGGTATACACACACACACACATACACACACACCAAAAAAAAATGCTTTTGTTCATTATTCATGAGTAAGCCCCAGCTGGGTGTGGTGGCACACACTTGTAATCCCAGAGATTTGGAAAACTGAGGCAAGAGGATCACAAGTTTGTGGGCTGCCTTGGCATCTTAGTGAGATCCTGTCTCAAAATAAAAATAAAAAGGGCTGGGGACTAAGGATGTAGTTCTACAATAAAGCACCTGCCTAGCACATGTGAGGCCCTGGGTCTGGGTTTGAGTCCTAGTACCACAATAAAGAAAGGAAAGAAGGAAGGAAGGAAGGAAGTTAGGAAAGAAGAGTGGAAGGACTAGGAATACAGCTCAGTGGCAAAGTGCCCCTGGGTTCAATCACCAGTGCCCTGAAAAGGAAAAAAAAAAAAATGGAGAGTAAGTTCCTGAGACTTGTTATCCTGAGACTTGCTATATAACATAGTTACCTATGTTTTATACCCCCCCACACACACACACACACTCACACAATTAACAACAAGGCATGCACACCTAAAAATTTGTTGAGAAAGTAGATTTCATGTTAAGTGTTCCTAGCACAAAAGGTGAGGAACAAGGAAACTGCTGGAGGTGATGGGTATGTTTATTCCCTTGATCAAGGTGGTGGTAATAATACAAGTTCACATATATGTCCAAACTTGCCAAATTATATGCACTAATTACATGCCATTTTGTATACCAATTAAACCTTAATAAATTTTGAGAAAGAAATAAAGAAAAATGTGTTTCTCACTGTCCCCTAGCCTTTGGAGATATAATCATGGTTAGACTAATAAGGCCAAGTGATGAAGCCATTATTGCCATGCCTGCCTGCCTATCTACAATTTCTACCCTTAGGCAACAGTCCTATATGTTTTATTGATAACACTGCTGCAATTTATACTTATGGAATGTATACAGGAAGTTTTTAGAAAAGGTAAATCTTTTTTTACAAGAGTTATGAAAGGAAATCTAGGTAGAAGTAAAAGGGCTCATGAGAACACATAAGTTTGATGGGAACAAGTGGGCAAAGGCAGGTGAGGGACACTAGAGTGTTAGAGGAGAATGTAGGTAAAGTCACTCAGTCCCTGGAGGACTCTCATTATCAGTTAAGCTTATTATAATAATAATAATAATAATAATAATAACAATAATAATAATAATAATAATAATAAATTATTGGAAAAGAAATCATTCCAGAAAGAGCCAAATAATCACTATGTAAAAGAAATGACATACATGGGTAGAATATCTGCTTATAAGGACAAATCATAATTTTAGGGTAGAACATAAAAATACTTAAATTATTTATTTTATTTTTGTACAGAGACAGAACCCAGGGGTGCTTAACCACTGAGCCACATCCCCAGCCCTTTTGATTTTTTTATTTTGAGACAAGGCCTTGCAAAGTTGCTTAGGACTTGTTAAGTTGCTAAGACTGGCCTCAAACTTGCAATCCTCCTACCTTAGCCCCCTGAGCTTCTGGGACTACAGACATGCACCACCATGCATGTTAAAAAACACATTAATGCTAAAAACATTCTCCAGAAAGCTCTTATTAGGATGCAAGGTTTCTTGAAGGGCAAGAACGGCAAGAAAAACTAGAAAAGGACAATTCCATCAAAAAAAGCAGAAAGGCATTCTCAGAAACAAAAGCTATTCATCACCAGAAGTTTCAAGTGTGTGCTGTTGAGAAAGCCTGCCTGGCTTCCCTGTTGTACTATGAGGTAAGTGTTCTCAGATTTACAAGGATGTGGATTTATAGTCATTGAATTCATATCAAGTGTGTTGAAATTACACAGTGAAAGAAAATCTGTCGTTTTCACATACATACAAAGCATATAACACAGAGAACATGCTAATGAGTTCATTTATTCATTTAATTAATATTTCCTGAGCACTTATAATATATATATAACTTGGTACTTTATGGAAGACACATTAACATCAGACCAGTTCTTGTCTCCACAACTTTGAGCTCTTCAAAGCAACAAATGACATGACTTACCCAGCCACTAAGGATGTTCAGAGAGCTTTTTGTCATATAGTCATTCAGCCTAATTAATCAGTCTTTGAAATACATGTAATACCCTTAAATCTGAAGTACCTTTCATTTGAATCTGGAAAAGAAACATTGCTTAGGGATACATATATAATATTCCTAAAGCAACTCCTAAAAAGCATCTCAAGCCAATGATAAAAGAAATAGCTAGGGGTCTTTAACAGCATGACTTTAAATAGATGAAGAAAATCTGTTCTTTAGAGAACTCTCTGGGGAATATGGTTCAAACAATGAAAATGTCTTTTATAAGAAGCTTCTTTTCTCATCTCTGTGTGCTCTGCAGGCACAACTAAGAGAAGTCTGAGAATTCTATTTATGCCTCATCCCTAGAGCCCTGGGGAAGTTGCTTTTTTCTGTCAAAAAAACTCCAATCAACAGTGTATGTGCATACATGTACACAAGATGCTGAGCTAGACATTCGCACCAATAACTGAAGATACCCTCCTTAAGAAATAATCAAGTCCTGAAATTAAAACACAGAAATATTAAATATAAATGAGAAATACCAAAATGAATATTAGAGATTGTCACATAATACATCAAGGAAGAGGAAAAAAGATAAAGGGAGGGGAAAAGATCAGCAATGAAGTTGCAAGTGATGAAAGGACAAAGAGGAGCAAAAAGATAAAGCAAATAGCTAACAAAACCCATGTGTAAAAAGGGAGAGGGCCAAATTCACACAGCATCTCAATATGGGAGACAGAAGAAAATTCACACACATTAAAAGCAGGGTTGCAAGGGACATGCTATGGGCAACTGGAAAATAAACATATAAGAATAAAGCTAGCTATGCTGATGACAGACTGCAGAAGATCACTGTGTTTCACATGCTGGGAAGAGTTATAACAGGAAGTAATTGTGACAGCACTGGAAGTCAGAAGAGAAAAGGATCACTACCTTTATATACCAGAGCCACACTGGGAATGGCTAATATGTGAAGAGACTTGTATGAACTCTGCACATTACACATGTAAAGAAGGGAACAGGTAGGTGGTCTTGTCTCATGTCACTTTAACTAAAAAGAGAATAAATGAGGTTTATAATCATGAGAGAGAGGCAACCAGAGAGTAATGTGATACCACTAGCCTTCTTTTTGAAGCCCCAGTTCTTCCTCTGCTTCCATGACACCACCAACTCCTGGTTCTCCACTATCTCTCTACTCATTCCTTCTTAGTCTCCTTAATCCTCTCTTTAATGCTGCATTTGTCCCAGTCTCTTTTTTCAAAGTATACATTCTCTGAGTTTTCTTATCTGTGCTTATGGCTTCAACGGACTAAAATATTTCCCCAAACCACATTCATTCCCTAAGTGCCAGGTTCAGTTTTCTAACTATCTTCTTAATATACCTCCTACCTGAACTCTAAGAACTTCAAATACAAACTGATCCAAATACCTTAACCCCAACCTAATGAGCAGCATACAACCCACCTAATCATCCCAACAAATCTTTTAGTTCTACCTCCTTAGCACTTCTATCCATTGTGG